GGGGGGGGGGGGGGGGGGCCGCCCAGGAGTCCCCGGCAGGCCCTGCGCACTCACCGTGGTGATGAACCTGTACAGCGGCTGCCGTCTCTCCGTGTACTTGACCGTGATGGGGCTGAGGTCGTATCGGAACCAGATGGCAGGGATGATGCGGCCCGTGTGGCTGTAGGCGACGTACTCCTGGGGCGGAGGAAGAGACAAGGGCAGGGGGGATATGAGATTCAGGCACACAAGCCGCATGTCACTGTGGGTGGGGGTCGCTTTCCTCCCTCTCTCCCCCGGGGAGCCAGACCCCACAGGCCCCTCCTCTCACCCGCCTTCCCCAGAGGCTTTGCCATCAGCACCTGGACGGCAACGCTGCTGGGGGCATTTTAACCCTTTCGGCTGCCTGGAAACTGACCATATTTTGACTGCAGAAGCAGCACCAGAATCAAAATATGAATCTGAGAGCAGAGACCGAAAAAGACAAGTGTGATTTGGGCTCAGTCTGAATAAAGGCCCCTCCCCCTGCAACTCCTGAGTCATGCGAGATCCATTCATTTATTCAGCAAGTTTCCTGAGAGCCTCTCCGGTACCCTGGTGCCCTGCTGGCTGCTGGGGACCCCAAGGGAGTGAGCACAGCCCACCCCCAGAGGGGGTCACAGTCTGGGGAAGGCAGATCTAACAATATGTGTAACACTGTGATACAGCATATGTCGTGACAAAGGGACGTGGAGTGCTGTGGGAGCCACCGACAAATGACCAAGTCTCCCCAGGGGTATCCGGAAGGCTTGGCGAGGAGGGGACAGTCTATGCCACACATGACACCCTGAGGAGTGTGTGCATGTGTGTGTGAGAGAGACAGAGAGATGCACCTGAGGCCATGTGGGGAGTGACCTTCTTTAAAGGATCACAGGCATTGGAAAACCAGAGGGCTCAGCCCCACAACAAGCCTTCCTGAGAAGGCACAGGCCGGGAACAAAAGGATGCTAAGGGGCTGCAAGAACCACGTGTCCTCTCCGGTCTGGGTGCTTCAGGATGCTGAAAACCTCTGGGTTTCCCTCATTCATCTACAACTGGAGCCCCCCAGGGCACCCCAAGATGAGCTCCCCAGGGCACCCCAACCCCAAATGCTGGGCCTGACCCAGGCTTCTCCCAGGGGTAAGCCCGATACCTGCCCTCTCTGTTCAGCATCCCCGATGGGCACAGCCCCACTCACTCTCGGGGCAAGCTGGGGCCAAGGCCACAGAGAGAGCTGAGCAAGCTGCTCTGGCCACTGGGCCCTTGCCAAAGCCTCAGGGGAAGGAGCCTTGGGCAAAACAAGATCGGATTTCTCCAGGGAGAGCTACGGGCAGGGTGACTGTCTGGGTCATAGCCTAGGGCTGAGGGACAGAGAAAAATAATGAAAAATAGCAGCATTTATCCAAAGCCTTATCCAAAGCCTGGTTTTATAAAGGCACTGCCTCATTTAATAATAATCTTATGAGGTGGGCATCATTTTACAAATGAATAAACTGAGGCACAGAGTGGTTATGTGACTTAGTGACTGAGCCGGTCTGAACTGGGAGTCTCCTCCGCAGCTCATGCTCTGTTTAGGCGGCATCCACCTTCTTCCATCTGTCAGACGCTGTCAGCATCTGAGGGTGACAATGGCCCGCCCTCCAAGAAAAAGAACAAAAGAAACAGGCTTCCTTTGGGAGAGTTACGCCAGAACATCAGCACGGGTGGATCCCCGCGGAGGGACCTCAGGCCACCCCAGGGGAGGAACCAGCCCGGCGGACCCTGGGCCCTTGCTTAGAATGAATGGTGATGTGACCGGGAGGCCAGGCTCCGGAGCCTGAGGAGAGCCTGGCTCTAATCTCTACTTGGTCATTTTGTAGCTTGACAACCACCTTTCCGTGTCTCAGTGGCCAAATCTATAAAATGGGGGCAATAATAGTTCCAATGTCAGAGCTGTCACAATGGCTGGAAAAGATGGAGGTAGAGAGCTTACCTTAATGTCCAACCCACTATAGTGCCCAATAAATGAGAGCTAACACTCTTACTACTATTATTATTAATTGAGCTAAACACTGTGCCACTTACAAGCAGTTTGGGAAGCCCTGGAACAGATAAAAAAGGAGAGTCCTGGTGGTAAAGGGGGGACCTCACCCAACGAGCTTCAGGCATTCACATCCCACTGGCAGGGTCCTCTCCTGGGAAGCCTGAGGCTCTGGGCTTGAAACCACTAACTGCTGGTCACCCCATTCCGCTGGCTCTGACCATGCCCTGCTTCCACCGAGGCCTGCCTGCTTCTCCATGACTTTGGGTGTTGGGGTCCTGGGACATTTCTGTTAACCAACGGCCATCAGTGTGACTCAAGAGCCTCATGAGTTTGGATAAAGTGCTTGTGCTCTGAAAGCCAGAGCGTCTGTCATATGCTGACCAGTCAGGGTCCTGAATCTGAAGGACCAGGGCCACATGCAAGGCTACAGAGACGTTTGCAACCCCTGGAGGACCTTTGGGGAGGCCACCTGCCTGTTCTTTCTCAAATGGTGCCCAGACATTTGTCACCTCTGCTCTCAGCCAGCAGAGGGCGCTATAGCACGCGGCCGGGCCCAGCCGCCTCCTACCTTGTTGGCCACCGTGTACTGGTAAGAGTACTGCTGCTTGCCACTTTTGTCTTCGTAAACCGTGGGCACGATCTTCAAGATGTAGTCGTGGGAGGCAAGGGCTGCGGGAAGGACACAGCAGAATGAAGCAGGGGGACGGGCACTGCCTGGCTGGCAGCTCTATGTCATTTCAACCTTAAACCAGCTCGGCATTGCTGGTGGCTGGGGGGTGGGGTGCAGGGCTCAGCTTCATTTGCATCACCAAACGACCCCTCTTCATTTTCTCCCTTTGATACCAGGAACTGAAAGGCTCCGCCTGTCAGGATCTTTACTCCTGTATTTAATATTAAAATTCTGGAAACAATGCAGTGTCCATGAATAATGCAACCTATAGGGTGGGTGCTGGGAGGGGCCATGTTCCAAGAGGAACTGTTACGTAAAAAGAACCAAGTTACATAACTGGGTGAATAGCATGTTTCTGTGCACTGGGGGCAGGGAAGGCTCAAGCTCTCCACATGTAAAAATACACAGAAGAATTTTCTGGAAAGATACCCAAAAGAATTATTAGCAGTGTTAGCCTCTGGGGAGGAAGGCAGAATATGAACAAGATCACATTTCACTGTGCACCCCCTGGTCCTGTTTGAATACTGTTACTTTTGAAACAAACTGGGTTTAGGTTTTAAAAAGAAAGAGCCCACAAACCAGACAAACTGCACCTATGAAGAACTGATTAACTTCTTTCCCCATTTTCAGTTAATAGGAGATCCGCTCTCCCTCCACCTGGCCCTGTGACTCTCAGCCCCACCCCGCTGGGAGGCTGCAGAGGGCAGAGACCGAGCCTTGCTCATCTCCGCGTCCCCAGAACCCTGCACGGGCCTGGCACAGAGCGCACAGCAGCAAATGCTTATTGAATGAATGAACGGATGGAGGGATGACTGGCCAGGGGCATGAATGGGGAGCAGATGAACCGGCTTCTGATAAGCATGAGGTCACCTGAATCAAACTCGAGGCTGACAGAGTGCTGGCCCGAAGCTGCCAAGTATCACCCGGGAAAGGTAGAATTCCCCTGGGCCTCCCGGGATGCGGAGAAGCTCTAGGCCCGTCTATCGCTGCCTCTAGAATCGGAGGCAGGGCCCGTGGGGCTGAAGGAGCACAAGACGAGTGGGCTGTGGGTCCTAATCCTGCCTCCGGGCTGAGGCAGCCCCGAGCCCTCGCACTGTCTTTTGCAAGAGGCGGGGTGAAGCCGGGTTTCAGCCTCTTCCTGCTAAGGCTGAGTCTCAGGGAGGAAGGGACAGCGCTTCCTGGACCGTCTTCAGACCTGACTCCTCCGGAAACCTGCGAAGAGCCTGCAGCCTCAGGGCTAAGCCCATGAAGGCCCGGGTACCCCAAAGTGGTCCTCAGAGGGCAAAGCGCTGGAGTCACCCAGGGAAGGCAGACACCTGGGTCTCACCCCTGGATTCCTGCTCAGAGGGCCTGGGGTGGCCTCCAAATCCACCTGCATTTTAAACCAGGAGCCCAAGACCACACTTGAAATACAGTGTTTGAGTGCCCACCACCCCGGGTTAAAACCTGAAGGCCTGAGAATCACCCCTGTAACAGTTCTACTAAACAGAGGGGGTGATGGGAGGGTGAAGCAGGCAGAGGGGGTCAGATATACGGTGACGGAAGGAGACCAGACTCTGGGTGGTGAAGACTCAATGGAGTACATGGATGTTGTCCTATAAAGTTACAGACCTGAAATTTTCTATAATGTTATTAACCAATGTTACCCCGATAAATTACAAATACATTTAAAATAATTGTTAACATCTGTACAAAAAACAGAGGCTCATAAAGAAAAGACGTAAACACCATTCACAAATCCACCATCCACAGGAAACCTTGGATTCGCAGTCTCGTGTATAAACTGCCAGACTCGTATTTATTCATATATTTATGTTTTCCTAAAATTGGATCATACTGTACCTTTTTCTAAGAACTGAACACCAGACACCAGAGCGTAGGCTCCAATGTGGGTTACATGCACTGCCACCTGCCCTGGCATAGGGCCCGGCACATAGTAGGTGCTCTATAAATGCCTGCCGCCTGAATGTCAGTGAGGTTCTGACACACTGCGGTCAGTGGCGGAGCGCACCCCGCGGCGAGGCCACGTACAATGTACTCAGCCAAGTCCCCGAGGCCAGACACAGAGGCTGTTCCTCATCTTCACTGGTAAACAATGACCTAACGACCATCATTTTCCTAAGTCACTGGACACGCTCCTGATTATTTCCTTAGCTTACTCTCTCGTGAGTAGAATTGATGACTCAAATGCAATGACCACTTTCAAGGCCTTTGATACAATTTGCCCAGTGTCCACTACAGCACCTAACACACCCACACGACTCCTTGCCGGCTGACCCCTCCGAGGGGCTGGTGGCCCCAACCCCATCTGCACAGGCCCACACACCCTCCCGCCCTTCACACGTCTTATTATGCAAAAGCTCAAATATAGAAAACTAGGGGATCGTGTCACCAACTCCCATGTTACCCCGTCCCCAGAGCCAGCGATGAACAACGGTGACCAGTTTTGTTTCATCTCTACCCTACTGCTGCTCCTCCCCCATTTTATTTTGAAACTAATCCCAGTCATCACATCGATTCATGCACAAATATTTTAGTTATGTCTCCCTAAAAGATAAGAACTACTTAAAAAACAACCACCACCACAATGCCACCATCACAGCTCAAATATCAACAACCAGTCGTCAGTATCTTCAAAGAGAGTGGTCTGAGCTAGGAGTGGGTTTACATTAGATAAGGTGGTCAGGGAGGGCCTCTCCGAGGTGGTGGCGTTTGTGCTGAACATGAATAACAACAAGCTGCCCCCGTGGGAAGATCTGAGGGCAGAGGGGCCCTCAAAGGCAAAGGCCCAGCAGGGGGACCAGTTTGAGAGCTGAAGAGATGAAAGCCAGCCCTGAGCCTGGCCATCTGCTGCCCGACCTCATGCATTTTTCTTGCCATGAAGCTTTCATCCTGGCCCCAGAGCAGGCAAGGATTTCTGCCCATACCCTGTGTCGGCTCGCATGTCCTCGGGTCTTCCTACCCTGATCGGGTCCTGTCTCAGACAGCTGAGGGGTCCACGCTACCTGCAAGCACGTGTGGACGGCCACCCTGGGACAACACGCTGTGCTTACACAGGCCTATGACGACCACCCACCACTCGTGACATTCGGGCGAACACAAGGAGGTACTGTGGTGACTTGGACGCTGCTTGAGGCAGCACAAATGGGCACGGACCACAGGGAAGCCCCTGGGTAATGTAAAGCAAATGCCATCAACATCAGTGGCACTGCTGCCACAGTGAAAAACTGGAAACAGACAATTCCCACGAAGAGACAAGGCCTGAATTCAGCCTGGCGGAGCTGCTCGATGGGCACCCGTGCCCCCGTTACTGGAAAGCTATACAACACTGTGGTTACGCAATGAAGCCGAGCACAAAAATCAGCAGGTGGACACTGTCTGTGCTTTGAAGAAATGGCTTCTGTCCGTGGACAAGAGCTCACGGGGACACAGGGAATGAACGGTGCAGTTTCCTGGGGGGACCGCTTGTGCGGAGATGTCTTCTCTTGTTTAGATTTCTGACGATCAGAGAGCAGAATGTATTTTAAGAAGTGAGAAGAAAAGCCTTACGGGTGAAAAAAGTGAGCGCAGGTGAGAAATTAGAAAAGGCAAGGTACCCTGTCCTGAAGGACCTGGCGGGCAGACAGGCTCCCACGCCCGCTCTGCGCACGTCCAAGGCCCCGAGCATGGGCACACTCCTACGGGTAGGTGTGCGTGTGTTCTGCCCGGCTCTCTCTTTAATCAGAGTCGAGGTGCCAGGGAGCTGAGGTGGGAGAGGGCTCAGGGAGGCGGCACCTGTGGGTGGGAGGGGTTCCAGCAGGAAAGGAGGGTGGGGAAGGTGGCCCAGGTGGCCAGACCAGACTGAGCCGCCCACACGCCTGTTCCCACGGTGTTACTGACCTGGGATGAATTCTGGCTCTGCCATCACTCCCTGTGGGACCTTAGGTGATTAGCTCTACTAAGAACAATTACGTGGCCCTCGGGATAACAGTGGTGACAGTAGCAGCTGGTATTCACTGAGCACTCACGGTGTGCCTAGGGCTGCCGCAGACTTTCCCTGGGGATAAGTCACTCTTCCTCCCCTCTCTAAGACAGGGATATGCCACCTCCCTCACAGGCTGGCTGTGGGAAGAAGCCTGGACAGCCTGGCTTTCAGCAAGGACCCGAGAAGGGTGCTCTCCCCTCCCCCACTCCCTCTCCGCTGAACTGGGAATCCCGGGGCTGGACTGTTCCCAACTGGATACATACGGTTGGAGGTGAGTCTGTCTGCTCCTCCGAGAGCATTGAAGGCTCCATGGACGTTCTGGACCTGTGGAGAAGCACAGTGAGGTGACCCCAGGATGCTACCACCTCCAGACCCGGCCCTGGCTGTATGGGACCGCCATATGCAATCTAGCTTAGGGACCTCATGGTCCTGAGTTTGCTGCCATGAGTAAGACACTGCTGGGCTAGGCCTGTTGGAGGTGGCCCTCTTGATCACACAACAAGGACTCTCAGGATACTTCATTCACCACGCTAACCCTATTTAATGGCATGGGCGTGAGCAGTAAGGCCGAGGGGGCCATGGAGTCAGACAGGTCTGCTGGGGAACGCTGGACACGTGGCTTCTCTGGTCCCAGCTCCAAGTAGGCAAAATGTGGTGCCCCCTCCCACCTCATAAGGCTGCAAGGACAGAGAGAAGGCATTAGCACTTATCATGAAAAGTGAGTCCCTTACCCCAGCCCCCAGGTCTCAGCTCGAGATCCCAAGCCAGCGCACTGATGATGGAATGGCAGCCATGGACGCAGAAGCAATGAACCAGAGGGGTGTTGGATGGAGCAGAGGCTCAAAGGGGGTGACCCCTCTGGAGGGCATTGCTCTGTGTCCAGGAAGGACAGGCGGCTCTGATGACACAGCCCCTGTGCACCCATCCCTGACCATGCCACCTATAGTGTGACTGCTCACCTGTAGCGTGTCCCCAAAGGAGAGTTTGTGGATGATATGGGTCATGTCTGGGTTCTGTGGCTGAGCTGTGGCACTGTGTGTGGACACGTGGAAGTTGCCAGGGACCTGGGAAGAGAGGTGAGTGTCAGGAGTTGGTGGGCTGTCCCAGAGATTGGGGTGCAGGGCTCCACCCTGAGGTGGGACACATCTGGATTTTGGACCTCAGTGTGGTCAAGCCACGAGACTCTGGAGGAACCACTCCTCTCTCTGAGCTCCAGGTGCCTCATCTGTAGAATGTGGCAATGACAGCAGCTACCTGAGGGGGCTGCTAGGGTGATGGAGGGAGAGCAGGCCTGTGAAGCACCTGCTGGGCACTTCCAAATAGCAGCAGCCAACCATAACCTCCCTGCTCCACACTGGGTTGCAGGATGACCTTTAGGCCTGCAGGTCAACGGAGCTGCCTCAAACTCCAAATCAACACTGTCACCCATTAGGAGTATGGCTTCTGGCTTAGCAGCTTATTTTGTAAGCATGCCTGTTTCAAACACTGTGGGCCTCTCTCAGGAATGGTCCTGTCTTCACTAGGGCCTGAGCTGTGGGCTGCATGGGAGGAGCCTGGCCAGCAGGGCATGGCCTGGCCTCAACGAGCTCACAGTCGAGCGGCTAGCACGGAGCCTGGGCCCTGGGCCCAGGGAGCTGGGAGGGGGAGGAGCAAGCCACTGGTCCTGGGGTGAGCAGGGATGATAGCTAGGCAAGATCTGCCAGGATGGACGGCATCACCCGCTTCGGGGGCCCAATGACCTGCGACAGAGCAGCAGCCGAGTGCCACACATGGGCTCCAGTCTGACCCTACTTCCTAGCTGGGGGGCCTTCAGCACGGTCAGTAACTACTGTGTCTCAGTTTCCCCATCGGCAAAGTGCAGATGAAAATCACAAAGGGTTCCTGGGAGGACTGAACGAGGTGATGAGCGGAAAAGCCGATGATGGCATCTGTTACCGGGCTGGGTTCATAGGGTGGACACCGTTGTGATCAGAGGCAAGAGGGGACTCTCCCAGAAGAGGGAACAGCACGTACACAGGCAGGGCCTGGGGAAAAGCCACTGCATTAAAAAATACTTTAAAATTCAGTTTTACTTCTGTAAATAATACCTGGATACATCTGTATTATAAAAAATTCACATGATAAAGTCAAGACTGAAGTCCCTGTCGCCTACCACCCCCAGAAATAAGAAAGCGATGGCGTCTGCGCGTGTCCTTCAGGGTTCTGTGCAGTGACGTGGGGGCTCCTGTGGACGTGGGCAGAGATCAGAATCGTGTTTGGGGCCTGGGCCTCCCGCTCCCAGAGTTAAGTGAGTCAAGGAGGCCAGTTCCTGCGCATCTGCCACCCGCTGCCACCCCTCGAGCTGTGACTCAGTGGCCCGCTCCCCCTCCACGAGGAATCCATCACAGGTGGCTGACTCATACCGGCACACGCTGGGCTGAGGAAAGAGACGACGCTTTTAGAGCGTGTGACTTAGGAACCTACGTCAGTGCCTCTGAAGGATTTTAAAAATATATAGACGAAGCCAGGCCCCAAGCCCCCGCCGATCCTGCCCTCCTCCTGGGGCGCCGGGTGATTAAGCCCCAAGTCTGCGCTGCTCGGGGCAGCTCGAAACATCCGAACTCTGACATCTGGCTGCTGGCCAGCTTCCTGACGGCTGGAAGGGCAAGAGTAAGCCTGATGCTGCGAGATAAAGGGGTGGGGGTCGCCGCCGACCTCGCCCATCCCCAGGCGGGCTTTCTTATCTGAGCATCCCGACTGAGAGCTTCTCGAAGGCATGAATCATTAACCCGCCAAGGGTGGGGGCAGAGGCTGACCTGAGCTGTGCTCTGGAGTGAAGGGACACGCTCGTCATGCCACACGTGACCGAGATGTCAGCAAGAGGGAGCATCGGGGGACCAGGGGGAAAGAGCGGGAGCCTGGGTGGTAATGCTTTCTAGTTTGTATGTCTGTCTCTAGCACTGGGGCTCCACCCACCTATTCAAGGCAATGACCCAGAGCTGATAACCCACCCTGGGACTTGGAAGGTGCTTGATAAAACTTTTTGGAAGGAATAAATATATAGTAGCTCATTTATTCCTCACACAAAGTTTGTGAAAGGGAAGGGCTGGGGATCATTATATAATTATCATCACATCCTCAATGTAAAGATGTAAAAACCGAGGCTAAGGTGGGTTGAGTGACGTGGAGGGAGGCGTTTGGCCAAGAGGGGTGGAGCTGGGACTCGACTGCGGGGCTCAGGGCTGCTAATGCTGCAGCCTTCTCAGCACCATCACCCCCGCCTGACCCAGCGAGCACGGGCTCCAAACCCTGCGAAGCTTGGAACCCCCACCCAGGTTCTCCGGGGGAACTTCCAGGCACCTGGATGTTGACCCCAGCGCGCCAGAGACTGCCTGGGGGAGGCGAGCGGGGGCACAGCTCGGCCACCAGTTTCTGGGGAGGACAGGGACAGAGGGGATGGGGCCCGGGGTCTCTGTACCTTGTTGATGCTGAACTGGCCCTCGAAGCGGCAGCCCACCCCATTGTTCAGCGGGATCTTCATGGAGTTGTCGATGTGGCCCACTTCGTGCCTGCCCATCTCATCCTGGATGTCGAGCCCAACCACTGAGAGAGCCAAGGAGGGAAAAGAGTCACAAACACCCGGAGAAATGGGGTAAAGGGCCAGCCCCCTCCCACATCCACTCCATGGACGGGCGAGTCCCGGCCCTCCAGGCAACTCACAGGCCCGGTCTGGGGCCCAGAGATAGCAAGGAAGTCAGGCAGCGGGGGAGGGAGACTAAGAGGGAGCCAGCCCCCCATGTCCCCCATCACCACTGCCTGGAGCTGGAAAGGACAAGGGAAAGAGATGGGGAGGCAGCAGCCAATGGGGCCAGGACTGCGGGGTGCAGGGGTGACAACTGCCAGACGTGAGGCTGCAGGCAGGCAGCAGAGGGTCAGGGTTACGAGACAGTCTGAGTGCAGGCCCTGCCTGCTTTTACCAGCTGTGCAACTCTGGCTGAGGCACTCAACCTCTCTATGCATAAGCTTCTTTCTTGGGAAATGGGGTGATCACAATTAAACTGTCCTTGGAGAACTATGAGGCTCAAATAGTTCATACGTGTATAAAACACTTAGAACAGGGTCTAACGCACAGGAAGTGGCAGGTGCTTAATAAACTTCAGCACTTAATGTATCTCAGTCTCTGGGTTCATTGGTTGAACTGGCTCCTTCCTTCCTTCACTCATTCATACCTTCTGCTACTCCAATGCCTGTTCCTCTGGGCCCACCGTCCAGGAGCTCAGGCACTTTTCGGGGTTGCTCAGTACACTAGATGGGAAACCTGGGGAGTCCTGGTCCTTGACTCCAGTGCGACTCCACCATCTCTGTGACTCAGTTTCCCAACCTGGAAAATGGGCAGGAGCATGCCAACTGCTTGTCCTGGGATGGTCCAAGTGGCAAGATGGTGGTGGTAGGGTCCCCATAAACTACAGAAACCCAGGAATGTCCCTGAAAGGAATTCTAGGAAGGAGGTTGCCCTATAGAGAAAGGGCAGCTGGAAGTGTCCTTTTAAAAAGTGAGCCGATCCTAAAATGGAACAACGGGAACAACCCCGGATTCCTCGGTGGAGACGGACTTGAGTGAGGGCCCTCCATGCAAGAGAACGGGCCGCAGCCATTAGCAAGGGCGCTCGCGGGCCTGCAGGACGTGGGCAGGCGATGCCATAGCTATTGGTTTGAAAGAAACGCCGCGGGTCCCGGCCTGAGTCAGCAGTTCCGTCCCGGAAGCCTGTCCTCCAGATGCACAAATGACTACATGTGTGCAAGGCTGCTCCGGCCAACCTTCTTTGAAATTGTGACAACTGGAAGCAACCCAACTGCCTGTTGACAGGGGCCTGGTCAAGGGAACAGCCCCCTCTGGAATGCTGGGCTGCAGGTACAGGAATGAGCTAAATCCACCCGTGGGAGAGGCTGCTCGCGCAGGGCAGTGGCTCAGTGTGGGGCCGCACCTCGAGCCAGTTACCTAACCTCTCTGTGCCTCAGTTGCCTCCTCCATCCTATGTTTCTGATTAAAGATAATTAAAACAGCGCTGACTATGCGCTAGACGCTCTTCTAAGTGCCTTTTATTCAAGAACCCACCATCTGGACACCCCTGTGGGGAAGATCATATTGTCGGACTCACTTTTTGGGGAGACACTGAGGAACAGAGAGGTTAAGTAACTTGCCTGTGATCTCACAGCTAAGAAACGATGAAGCTTGGACTGGAACCCGTGGAGCCTACGCCCTGTAGGCACTCGGCTAGAACACCTCTCATCCTAATGCACTAATACAGCCGAAGCATCCAGGGCAGGGCCTGGCCCAGACTCAGGGCTGAATAAATGCCAGCTGTGGCTATTGTTTCACTAATCCTATGAGTAATAGAAGAACAGCTCCAAGGTCTTAGCTGAAAAAAGAAACCCCAGAAAGGTCCCATACAGTTGGGTCCCAATTATGGAAAAAGAGAAAAACAATGTTGACAGACAGATAGGCAGGCAGGCAGGCAGGCAGGCAGGCAGACGGATGCAGGGGTGGGGGAAGGGGTCCCAGCTGCTGGCAGAGGCTTCCTCTAGGGTGGATGGCACACTGGGCAACATGTATTTCTTTTCCTTTTTTCTTGATTTATTTCTGTATTTTGAACAAGTATCTTTTTAAAGTATTAAAAAAATGCATTCCTGTATTAGTTGTGTAACCAAAAAACCCATCATTTGAAAGCAGGATATGGGATTGGATTGGACACACGGCATGACCTCAGAGGGTTTAGAAATGTACAGAAAGGAGAGCCAGCAGGACGGAATGGCCTGGACTGTCAGCCGAGGCTGTTGTAGGGGGTGAATGATGGGCGATTTCTTCTCTCTCTGCTGCCTGGAATTTCCAAAGATACAATGATGGGCACACTTTTTTTTCTATAATATAAACTTGAAGTTCTTTTAAAAAATTCCAGAGTGTGGGGCCCTAGCAGGAGCCACTGGGGTTCAGGGGATGGCCCTGCAGAGCAGTAGGGCCCCACGGGCCGGTGCAGCCGCAGCTTGAGGTCATCGTCCCCTCTTGGGCCACTGCCTGGAGCTGGGACCGAGCCTAGAACCACATCCCTTCCCTCCCCTGCCCCAGAGGACTGGTCCCAGTCCTCTGGCCTAAGAATTTCCTTGTTCCAGAGACATGACCAATTCCTGAATGAGAAGCTGCCAGAGGAATTATTTTTCTAAGAGAAAGAGAATAAAATAAAAATAAAACCGACCTATTTCAACAGGTTCCCTGGCTCGCGGCCCACCGTGGATCCAAAATTGTGATGCAATTCTCACCAAAAGCAGTAACAAGGCTNCGCGGCCCACCGTGGATCCAAAATTGTGATGCAATTCTCACCAAAAGCAGTAACAGGGCTGACTCGCCCAGTGTTCTGCCCTCAATAGGAAGGGGCCTACGTGCCAGGCCCCTCTGCCAGGCTGGGGCAGAGGAATAGCTAAAACCCCAGTCCTGGTGGGGGTACCCAGTCCACTCGCCTGCAAGTCTGGGAACCAGCCTATCACATCCTCTCCACAACTTCAGGCAATAGATAGCACTAAGCCCATTTTACAGATGAGGAAGCTGAGGCTTGGAGAGGTTTAGCCAGGGTCACACAGTTTCACTGACCAAAAGAGCCAGAATCTGATGCCACACACCAGACTTCCAATGAGTTCTGTTTAAACAAATAATTCATTCTTTTGGTTGAAACAAACGAAACAAACAAAACAGAGTGTGAAGCCAAAAAGGAAGTTTTCTGACAGCTGGTAGCAGCTCAGAGCTGCATACTTCTCCAGGTGACTACTCTTGGCTGGTTGGAGGTTACGTGACCCCCACCCATCACCCACACACCACCCTGCAGCCGTCAGTCAAGGGTATACGATGCGGATGATAACAGGTTAACAAGAGCCTGGCCCCTTGCTACCAGGTGGGACAAACTGGTGTCATTCACCACTCATCTCGGCTGGTCCTCTCGCCTCCCGGCCACCCTGCCGCCCTGCCAGGTTCCTGCTGAGAGCTCTCCCTCAATAAATCATTTGCGGAGGACCTGCTTCTTATAAACCTGACCTAAAAAACACCCCGGCACGGCTACTCTCCGGAGGTAACCCCCGTTAGCAGTTTTTTGCTTTTATTCCAGAAAACCACCAGCTACATTCCCACGTGATCACACTCTCCCCCGAAAAGAGCGGGGAGACTCGTGCCGCCTGTCGGGGGTTTGCCCGTCTGCCTGGCTGGGCCTGGGTCTCTCTCCATTTCCGCGCCAGCGGCTCTGCCTAATGGAGGGGCTTGCTGGGGCGGAGGGCTGCCGGAAATACTCACATTCACAGTGCAAATTGGGTAAACTGATGTTCAGGCTGACATCGATCTTGCCCCCGCTCTCCTTGTCCGGGTCATCGACATACAGCTCATTCACGCTGAGGGAGACAAACACAGAAGCCTTTGCTGAGGTGGAGGCACCCACCCCAGCTGCAGGCGACAGCCAGGGACCACCTCGGGGGCGATTCCTGCTCCAACAGCCTGCACCCCCCTCTGGGGGGAGCCTGGCCTGCTAATGACAGGGCAGCAGGCTCCCCATCCATGGCTGGCGCTCTCCAAGTGCTGGCCTTCCCACTCAGAGGGCGGGATGGGGTCCTGGCAAGAGCACAGGAGTCAGACTCAAGTTCCAATCCTGGCTCTGCCACTCTCTATGGGAACTCGGCAGGTGTTGCCTCTGTCACACGGGGTGTGAATGGAGTGGTGTGAACACTTAAATGAGAACTTGGCCCTTACTTGGGATCAGAGCCTGGCACCAGCAGGCACCCAGCATTTCCTTCCTCCTCTCTGGAGCACCCCTCCCACCCCACTGTGAAGTCGGGGACTCCCTGGGTGCCCATCCTCAGGTCCCTTGGGGGACTCTCACAAACCCTCGGGGGGTACCAGGTCTGAGAACAACCAGAGCAATGTATCAGTTTCTTGTGGCTGCTGTAACAAATTGTCAGACAGTTAATGACTTAAACCAGCACACATTTATTATCTTCTACTTCTGGAAGTCAGAAGTCTAGAACGGGTCTCCAGGGCAGAATGCATTTTCTTGCCTTTTCCTGCTTCTGGAGGGCCCCTCAGCTCAGTCTTTCCTTCATCTTCCAAGCCAGCTGTGTGGCATGTTCTCTCCTCTCTAACTCCTCTTAGAAGCACTCTTGTGATCTCACCCTGCCCACTTGGCTAACCCAGGATCACTTTCCCATCTCAAGAGCCCTGACAGTCACATTTGTAAAGTTCCTTTGCCTCATAAGTTAGTTACCAGTTTCAGGGACAGGGACGTGGACATCTCTGGGAGGAGGCATAGTATTGGGGCAGGTGGCCCCATGGACAGCCACGACACCTTGCTGTTGGGGAAAATAGCACCACACTGAGACCTGTGAGCAAAACTCATTTATTCAACCAATACCTCTGGACACCTGGCCTGGCCGGCGCTGGAGTGAGGAACCAGACAGACGTGGTCCCTGCCTTCGCGGAGCCACAGACACTGCCGCCTCCCGGATAAAGAGCTCACACCAACTACGATGGCTGCTTTGACGGAAAGCGGTGGGTGCCCGAGAGGAACGGACGGGCCGGCTGCCCTCTGGGACACTGGCTGGGAAGACTACTCTGAGGAGGTGGCAGCTGAGGCCTGAGGGTGCGGAGGCTGTCCTGGCAAGGAGGGATGGGGGACCCTTGGGACAGCGCAGCGGAGGCCTGGAAGAGGGAAGGGCACGGCTCCTTTGGGAACAGAATGAAGGTCACGTTGGCTGCTGTGTGGAGCAGAGGGAAGGGGTGTGTGGGACAGTCAGAGGACGGGTGGGGGGCAGGTCAGGCTGCACTTAACTAGGCCCCCTCTACCTGCTGCAAAGAAGGCTGACTGAGGGGCCACCGTGCCTTAGGGAGACCAGACAGGAGGCTGCTGCGGGTGCAGGTGAGTGATGGTGGCCTGGCCTGAGGATGGAGAGGAGGGTGGGGGTGCTAGATCAGGCAGGGCTTGCTGATAGATGGGGCATGAGGGAGGGTCGAGGGAGGCACTCAGGCATTAGAGAAGCTGGATGGGTGGGAGGGAAAGGCACTGGAGCTCAAGGTGTCTGGAGACATCCCTGGGGAGCCATGTGGGAAGCCTGGTTCCCAGATAACTCCCCACGTGGGGGGCGAATCTACGGGCTGGCCTGGTGGGCGCTATGGGCAGTGCTGGGGCAACCCCTTGGGTCCTGTGCACAGGCTGTGAAATAAAGGACTGTGGCCCTAAACAACCCGACTCCGTGAGCCTTGTCAGTGGCCACTTCTTTGGCAAAGAATGGGTCAGGCCAGGGACAGGGCATTTTGTCTTTACTAAGACCCTGTCTTTGTGCTCCAGCCCCTAGTGTGATACAGCTGGTGCTCAATTAATAAGAAATGGTGGTCTCACAGTCACACCCGGGGCTTCTTTACTTGTGGGGTCGAGAATGTTCCCAGAAATGAGAGAGAAACCTGCACAGCTCAGCCTTCAGATTGCTGGGCCCAGTCAGGTCTGTGTGCATTCATGTGGTCCCATCTGCCCCTGTGAAAGGCCCTGACCCCCATTCTAAAGGCAGGAAACTGAGGCACAGAGAGGGTGAGTCCCATCCCCTAGGTCACACAGCAGAAAATGGCTAAGCTGCAATCCCAACCCAGGTCTGCCTTCTGCCTGAGCCCCCGGGCTCCCTTTGCCGCCCTCCCTCTTGTCCTCAGCACCCAGGGGGAACATGAGGGGGCCCTGGCCCGCTGAGGCCACAGGGTGTGGGGTGAGGAGACTAGGGAGGAACAGGAAGAACAAATGGGCCAGAGGGAGGAGCAAACATGATCAGGGGAAGTTATGCCGGAGGACTGACTTCCCCACAGCCAATGCCCCTCCTTACCCTTCAGCACCCAGTTTCTACCCGGCCTTCAATCGCAGCTCGGAGGGCTGCTGAGTAACTGCGGGGTGATTAACAGGATGGTCACGGAGGAGAGCCCCCGGCTTCCCTCCCAGCCCAGCCAGACTCTTCCTCGAAGCTCCTCACCTCTCCCACCTGGGAGGCGGGGCCTCGAGCCGCACTGAGGGATTATGGGATGATGTCACCCCTGGCATCCTGGGCGGGTGACCTCAGCTCAGGTGTGGCGCCAAGGTGAGCTCACCCTTGAGCCCCAGGAGGCCTCTCCCAGCCCAGGGGCCCAGGGGCCCAGGCTCCCCTGCTGCCCAAAGGGGCGGAGGAGCTGGGAGGGCGGAAAGCGCACTCACCGCGGGGCCCAGGGCTGATCTGCTCACTCAAGGCTAGAACCGGCTGCTCCCAGGCGCCCTCCTCAAGGCCCCAGGCTGTGGGATAAACGGCTCAGTCACCTGTCCACCCGCGGCCAGGTGAGGTCAATGCAGCCACCTCCTGAGAGAGTCCAAGGCAAACCTTCCAGCTGCTGGCTCCCCGCCCGCCAGCCAGCTTCACAAGCCCACCCATAGCCACAGCTCAGGTGCCTGCCAAGGCTGGTAACCTTCTCGCCTGGGGCTGAACGGATTTTCAAAGGTGATTTTATAAGCCCATTTGGAGCTAAAAGAAATGCTTTTTACGGATTCACCACTGTTTGGGGACTTTGATGGGCCTGATTCTTCCTGTCACTGGCAAGGGTGATGAGAAGACCCCTGGGGCAGTGACAGACAGAGGTGGGCTCACCACCTGGCTCTCCCACCGAGAAGCTGGGGGAACTAGGACAAGTCACTTCATCTCTCTGAGCCTTGGTTTCCTCAACTGTAAAACTGGTAGAACTTTCTATGCAGTTTAACGACAGGCAGAATTATTTGATGGGAACAGAAGTCAGAATAGTGGTGCGGGGTGGGTTACTGAGTGAGAGGGGCACAGGTAGTCTTCTGGCTGGTGGAAATGTGTTGTCTTGATGGGGCGACAGTGATGTGGGTGTCATGTAAACACAGGCAAACAGTCTTCAAGGGCCATCTTTAAGGCCTGTGCACTTTGCCACCTCTAAGTTATATACGCCTCAATAAAAAAAGGAAAGAAAAACAGGAAGGAGGGAAGACAGCAGAAAGGGGGACAGAAATGGGCGAGGGGTGCTGGCTGCTTCCCAGGGCTGGGCGAGGCCTGGCCATGAAGTGGCAGGCTGCCCGGGCAGGGCTGTGTCACTCTCTTAACTCTGTAGGGCGCGGCACAGGCCCTTTTCGGTAGAAGGCATCACGGTGGAAGTCCAGGCTCTCAGGTTCAAATCCCGGTTCTGCCACCTACTGGCTGATCGACCTTGGCCAAGGGTCTTCGTCTCCGTCAGCCTTGGTTTCCCCAGATGTAAGACGGGGGCAATCACAGATGTGGCACAATCTCAGTAAATAGTAAGTGCTCAGTAAGTGTGCACCACTCTTGTTATTAATGCCAGTGTTTGCCGAGTTGATAATAACAGGGTAGCAACAGAATCCAAGGCACAGCGCTGTGGTACGGCTCAAACGTGCCCACGTGTGTAAGGCGCCCGGCACAGCCCTGGGGACTCCTCAGGCCCGCAGGGAAGCCAGCCTTGCTTACAACTAATCAGGGGAGATGCCCCTGTTCTGAGCTCCCAGAGGGTCTCAGGCACTATGCTGGGCCTTCCACATAGTATCTCATTTAAAACGCAGAACAAGCCAGGGTTTAATAGGGGTTACCTTTCTCTTTTCACAAGAATAAAACCAGGCCCAAAGGGAGACAGATAAAGACTGGCCAAGGTCGCGCGACCAGGAAGAGGCAGAGGCTGGATCTGAACCTAGAGCCCCCGAAGCCCAGTGCCATATTCTTTCCACTGAATGACACCGGATGGGACAGGAATCAATGAAAAACTGAGGGGCAAGTGTCCCCCAAGTAGACCTGTGATGCAGGAGTCACCATCTTTCTGATCATTTCCAGGTGTTCACCCCCACCCATGGCCCAAATATCCACAGCGTATGGGGGTGCTCAGGGGTCCACTCTGTTTGTGCCCCCAAAGCCTCTCTCTGCCACACCCCATGGGTGGCAGCACCTGACTCCCCCATAAGACGAGGGCTCTGTGATACCAGCACAGGGCAGGGGCTCACAATCTCCGCGGACGGAATGAACGGGGGAGGTAACCGACGGTGCTGGTGGAGTGAGGGGTGCATTCCAGGTGGGGGACGCCAGGCAGCGTCAGGGAGTCTGGCGGATGGCGTGGGGGGGATAAGCCTGGCCATGTAGGGAGCGGGAGAGAGGAACTGGGGAGGTGTGTCGGGGGAGCGTAGGTGGAATGTAATGGAGGGCCTTGAAATTCTCGGCTGAGGCGTGAGTCGGATGACATCCATGGAAAACAATTTTATTTGCTTTTAAAAGAGCACTTGAATAGTTCAGATTCCTGCCCAAAGTCGCTGACCTCCATGCTTAATAACTGGACTTGATGGAAACTTGCACAGCAGTGAGGCCCAGAGCAAGGGCCT